AGGAACTTGCCTGAGTTAGGTTATGGTTCAATTAGTTTATTAAACAGATTATATGATACAACTGCCAGCAACAACAAGGGACTGGGCTTGATGTCCAAAGATCACTTCCTGCCCTATAATCCTGGCTGAGAATAAATAAATTTCAACATCCAAAAATATTCCATTATGAGTGTGGGCACATGGCATGATGTACACACCTAGGTTAGGGATAGAGATTACACAAAACCGGTTTAAGTGATCAGAAACTGGCTTAAACCTGTAACAGAACAGACATATTCAGTTCACATAAACCAGTTTCAAAATGGCTGAAACCAGTCTGAGATAAACCTGGTTGAATGTAGTATCACACTTAACAGATTGAGCTCAAACCGGTTTATGCAATGTCTATCCCAGACCCCCTTCTGGTTTAAGTTAAACCAGATTCCTCCAGCATACTCTCTCGGGGGAGGGGCTCTACTCTCTGCTCCAGACCAGGGCTGGCCCTGCCCCTCTACTCCCTAGCCTGAGCAGGGATGGGATGTGGTGAGATACTGGCCAGCATGGCCCTGTTAAGGCAAAGTGGGCAGGGAGGGGGGTTAATTATTCCCTCCTTCCCCACCACAGCCAGGGTCTGCCTGGCTGCTGGAGAGCAGAGCGGAAGGGGCTGCAGCAGTGGCCCCTGGAGCTGGCAGACTGTGGCTACAGGGCAGAAGGGATGGAGGGAGGAGTTAACCCTTTTCCCCACTGCCTTCACCTTAATGGGGCCATGCTGGGGCTCTGTTCTGTGCTGTAGGGGTGGGGGAATGGGGACTCTTCCCCCTCCTCCTCCTCCCTTCAGGGTGGGGGACTGGGGCTCTGTGTGGCACTGGAGTAGGACTCCTGCTCCTCCTCCCTCTCCCCGCCACCCCACCCCCATAGGCTCTGCAGGGCTGCCCAGCTCTGGAGGGGAACTCTTCCCCCTGCTCCTCCCCACCCCGCTGGGGTGGGGGGGGGAAAAAAAAAACACTCTTCCTCCCCCACTCTGTCACCATGGGGCAGGGAGGAAGAGCTCTGTGCAGTGCTGCCTGGCTCAGCTGGGGCATGGGGAGCAGCTGTAACTGAGCTACAGCTGCCAGGGGTGGTCCTGCTTCCGCTGGCCGAGCTAGCCGAGCTCAGCCCCAACTAAGACAGTTACATGGTGAGGCTGGGCTGTGGGGATGTGGCCATCCCCAGCAGCTGCGGCTCAGCAATGGGGACACTGAGCCCAGCCAGCAGCACAGCCAGCCAGGTAGAGAGCTAGCTGGGCAAAGACTGAATCAATTGAGGCTCGGGCTTTTTGAATGTCTGTCCCTAGCCCTACTGTTGTGTTTTGCCTTGGAAATGAGGAGTAACTACACTAGTTTAAGTTACACCTAGCATACAGTGTGTGTGTGTCCACAACTCTAATCAATTCCATCCCAGAAAACCCTGCTTTGCATTTGGCAACAACTGTCACTCAGTGTTCTTCCACCTAATGGCAAGGGACTGTAATAGCACCAGTAACACAGCTAGCTAGGAAGTCAGTGGTCTGTCGTGTAACTTGTATTTGTTTATAAATGCATTTTGTTTCTATACCCTATAATAAGAACAATTTTTTTGCCAGATTTCTTAGTTATAACTATTTTGATTTTACATTTTCCCTGCTCTTCTCATGGTATGTTTATTGGATTTAAGATTTGCCCTGAAGATGATATATTGTAATCCTTTTAGTATGAACTGAGTTTACAATAGGGTAATGCTAATCTATTTTTTTCTTTTAGGATTTACTGCTTAATTTAATAGTCATGTATGATATAAACATACTTCTAAAGTCTTCTTCCCTCATCTGGACTTCAGATATTGAATTTTTAGATGTTGCACAGTTATTTTTATTCTTTCATAAAAACAGTAGTAAATCTGTTTTCCTAATACATGCTTAATACATTCTCATACAACGAAAAAAATCTGTTTTAAAAAAAGTTTCACAGTTCAGTACAATAATGTGAGTTTAATAATAAAAGAAAAATTAAAAGGTATTCACTTCAATTTATACAAGCTACATACAATCAAATCACATGTAAATGGAAGAATTCTAGAGGTGCACCAATAAAGATTTTCTTGGGTAATACTGATGGCCAATTATTAACCATCCATATTGGCCGATTCCAATCCAATAGCCAATTTACAGGAACGCAGACCAGCAGCACAGAGAGCAGCTTCCTGCTGGTAAGTCTGTTGGGAGGAAGGGATGGGGGGAGAGGGAAGGGACATGAGGGGAGCAGATTGAAGTCCCCACCGTGACGGAAGGAGTGGGGCAGGCACTGCCCAGTCAGGGCACTGAATGTGACCCTGGGGTGGAGCATGGGACAGACCCATGGGTGGGTCATCTGGGGGAGCCATCCATAGGTCTACCCCATGCTCAACCCCAGGGTCACATTCACTGCCCCCAGGGTAGGCTTGGGGGGTATGTGCCCCCCAGATTTGGGCATGGGGCGAGGTTGGGCTGCCTGCAGTGGGCTCAGGGCCAGCGGCTCTGCCAGCCTCTTCCCGACGCGACGGCTGGGCCGAAGCTGTGCTCAGGGTGGGCAGCAATGCTGCTGGGAGGGGTGGCTACAGGGTTGGCTGTAGCCACCCCACAGCCACCCCTCCCAGTGCCACCACTGCTGCCTGGCCCACCCTCACCTGCCCTGAGTGAAGCCCTGGCCCTGATCCCATAGATGGCAGCCTGCACCTCACCCTACACACAAACCGGGGGTGGGGGGTCACATGCCCCCCATACCTCTCCCAGGGATGTACGCAGCAGCAGCAGGGAGCCCCACCCCCCCACGCCCCCTGGACAAGCTATCTGCTGGTCTGCCTCATGCCCCACCCTGGGGTCCCATTCACCACACTGGCTAGGCAGCACCTGCTCCTGCCTGGGCAGCACCTGCTCCTGCCCCTGCCTCATTCCCTCCCTCAACATGGGGGCCTTGATCTGCCCCTCCCCCCCACACTCCTTCCCTCCCGCATGCCCCAGTTGCCTCCCAAAGACTTACAAGCAAGACACTGCTCTCCAAACTGCCGAGCTGCATTCCTGACCATGTGCCAATCTGATAAGCCACCGATATACTGGTGCTCCTCTAAAGAATTCCATGAAAAGTGTCTACTTACGCCAAGTTTCAAAGAATATATATTTATTTAAATGTTCAATTCAGATTGATAAACACTCATTTTCTGGTTCTCGCTTGTAGATTGTTCAAAGAAAACTTTTTCATTAACCTAAAGTAGGGGTAGGCAATTACATAGTGACCTGAGTGAGCTTTTGCAGGCTGGGGGGATGGAGGTGGGCGACAGCTGGCCCAGCTGCCTGGGAACCCTGGTCTGTCTGGCCTGCATCCATCAACAGTGTTGGACAGAGCAGGCGGGCAGGGTCTCCATGGAGACCAGTGTGGGCCACCACAGTTGGGCAGGAAGCAGCATTTGGGACTGGGATGGATGGGCAGGGCCGGAATTGTGGGGTGGTGACAATACAGGGCCAGGATCACAAAGTGGTGACAGTGCAGGGCTGGGAGTAATAACTGCAATCCGCTCCCTGTGACAGAAGCCAGTTCCGTAGGTAGGGACACACAGGGAGCAAATAACAGATCTTTCCCAGGCCCCGGCCCAGCACCATCACTGCCCCACAATCCCAGCCCCAGCTCCTCACCCCACTCTTTGCCTGCCCACAGCCCCATCCCATTCACCCAGCCAAGTGTGCCCTGCTGTGGGAGTCCCAAGTCAGTCTCCATGGAGACACTGCCTGTCCAACTCCTCCGTTGAGGTTGTGGGGTGGTGGACAGTGTGAGGCCAAGAACACAAGGAGGTGACAGTGTGGGGCTGGGGCCCAGGGCAAAGCCGAAATCCACTCTTCACATGTACCTGTGACAGGAGCCAGTTCTGCAAGCAGGGATACGTGGGGAGCAAATCACGGGTCTGCCCCAGGCTCAACAGTGTCACTGCACCACAATACAAGTCCCACTCCCCCACCCCACTCCCTACCTACCCACAGCCCCATCCGATCCATCCAGCCAAGTGTGCCCTGCCTGCAGGGGCCCCAAGTCAGTCTCCATAGAGACCCTGCCTGCCCAACTGCTCCATCCAGCACCCCCAGCAGTGGGTGTAGGGAAAATGGGATGGGGTGCCCAGGCAGCAGTGGAGACACTGGCAGCAGCAGCCAGGCAGGCCACAGGGGCTTGCCAGTGAGCCAAGTCTGGTCGCCATTTTGCCCCTGCCCTGCTGCACACTTGGGGATAGTGGAACCAGCCACATGTGCCATTTCCCAGACTGCCATATGGGGTGGGCGAGGCCAAGAGACCCACTGCAGGCTGGACAAAATACCTTAGTGGGCCAGATATGGCCCATGAGCCACATTTTGTCCACCCCAACCTAAAGAAACCAATGTAGGTGTACAACATCAAGCACAAGCTTCTGTCACTTGTTTCAAGTGAAATTCACCAGTTTAACCAGCAATTAGAGTAAGATGCAGATGGAATGATTCTTTCTAATCGCTCCCAAACTTAGTCTTAAGAAGACATAAATCCCTAAAAAATGTTCATTCTAATTAATACTGTATCTTTTTCAAAATACATATTTTTTAATAACAAAGTTAGGCCAACATCTTGCATTAATAGTTTTGTCAAACATGAGTTCACTGCACAATTTTGGAAATAAACCAAAAAGAAGCAGTAATGAATTGCATGGATCTGCCACCTTCCTCTATACATTCTTTACAAAGATCACAAAAGTGTTACAAAAGGTGGCACTACCAGCTGGTCTCCAACACCTGTTAGATCAAAAATGGGGGTGAAAAAAAGGAAGAAATAGATTTAAATAACTTTTTTTGGTAGTACAACATTTAAATAACTTTTTTTGGTAGTACAACACAATGCTACCAATAGAAGACTTCTAGCATTTATGCACCATGTAATTAAATGTAGTAATAAATTAGTCTTGCGTTCCCCAAATTGCTCCATTGGAGTCAATATGAAAAGTGTGTATTATCTTACCTGCATTGAATCTATTTACTGCCTTCACTTCAGCTGCCTTGTACTTATTTTCTCCATTAGCTTTTTCCATTGAACTTATTTCTCCAACAAATTCCACAGCTTTTGTAGCACTTACATTTAGTCCATGTGTTTCAGAAAGAGCCCTTGTATGTCCAAGGCCACTCTGTTGTTTCTCTCTACCCTACAGAGAGAAAAACACATTCAGGACAGCATTCTCTCATAACACAGGTTTTCCCGATAAATATGCAGCTGTTCATAGTACAGAAAACACCAGAATTTAGATATACGTTAGGTTTAACATTGTGCATCTTATGATTTCAAGACAATAATTAGATACAAACTGCATCCAAACCCCCACACTTCTCCACAAGTTTCAAAGTTTGGCAATACAGACTAAGATAAATCATTCCTTTTCTATGACATCTATGCAAGTCATTGTGATCCAAATACTACTACGTCCAGCCTTTAATTACAACAAGCAATCCCACTGACTGCCCTGGCAACTAGTGGGAAGTAGATTTTTCATAATAAGGCAGGCAAAACCAGGTGAGTGTGTACACACACACACGAAAAAAACCCACACTTCTAATATAAAATAGAAATAACATCATCTGCTTATGAACTCAGTTCAAAGGTTTCTGCAATTTAAAGTATGACATACTGAGTTTTCTGATATTAGAGGCTGAAATATCTGAATCCTTATTAATAACACTTACTCAACACACCAACATTTTTAAATTACAGTTCTTGAAAAGTGACTTTGTTTTTCTGAAATGGTTTTTGCCAGGGCATTCCAAACATTCTACAGGCAGCAATGACCCAGTATCCAAAGCCCAGGCCAATACTGTAATCCATACTTTGACTACAATGGGACTTGTATACGATCTGTATTCTGATTACTTTTACTTAGGTGTTGTAAAGCACCTTACTACTATATTCTCTTCCCTACTGATGTGAACAGGTCCTAGTTATAGAACAGAAGACAAGGTTCAGCTTGAGTAAAGATATCAGGTTCTGACCAGTTAAGATTACTTGTGTGATTAAGGGCTATTTGTTGTAGGCAGACATCTCAGACTTTAGTAACAGTGCTACATATACATATACGTTTTCCCACTGCATTCTTCTTTTTTACCTCTGCTACCTTAAATCCTGGGCCCAGTTGTTCTACTTCTTTCTCCAAACAGATTGTATTCTTGTTTCCTGGAGGTATAAACCTTGGCTTTTTTGCTGAGTTCCCTAGCAGTTGACTTGGAGCTGCTGATCGCCTCATATTCAATTCTGCCAATCTGAAAAACATCAAATACAAAAGGTGGGGTTTTTTGGCAATGCAGAATAATGGCAAAAGCATTTTAATGAATCGCTCTATAAATGCTTCTTAAAAATTAAAACATCTCAATAATTTCCAAACAGAAATATTTGTTCTCCATCCAACAGAATAAAAGTAACAAAACTAATGTAATCATTTTTTTAAAATATGTGCTCATACCATAAATTAAAGGACTAAGCTAGTAAATGACATTTTTCCTGATTTATACCATATAAATCCTGCTTTACTATTTCCTCTTTCATCTAGTCAATGATAGAATAAGTAGTGTAGGAATTACTTTTCTACAAATTATACCGAGATGTTAGACTATAAAAAGAAAGATATGTGGAAACAGAATGCCCTTCACAGCTAATCTTGAAAATCCAATTCTAGTACACACAACACACTGAAAGGAACAGTGAAATAATGGAGTAAACCTTGGTTTCTCACAGGTTATTTTATAACTAGGTATCTGAAATAATTTGTTAAAAATTACTTGACAACTACTGATCAAGAATATAATTAATCATAGCATGTACAGAATTATGCTATGCTATCTATTGGGAACAAGACATAGACAATGCTTTTAATAGCTACTGTATATTCAAATAATAAGCTTTTTTTTGCACTGTTCTGCACCCCAGTGGCCTGTCAGCCACACAGCAAGCTGTCTAAGAAAATTTATACAAGAGCTGCAAAGCAGGATAATTTTAAAAATAGACACACTAAAATTATAAGCATAGCTGACTGCTTTTTGTGTTGTACCTAGCTTGCAGCCAGAAAGAATATATGAACTTGTTAGCAGACTTCATCTCACAAAAGAATGATCCTCATTTTTTTTTTTGACCCTGCATGGTTATTTGTGTATGTAGATGCATTATCAGGGGTTTTCATTTTAATTCATTTAATGCTCAAACCTTTCCCAGGTTTTGCAAGAGTCTTCTATATCTCTACTGATGCAATCTAAACACTCTGGTTGTACTTTTAAGAACAATTCCCCAACCTCAGTTCCCTTATTGCTATTAAATTAAATTTAGAGGCTGTCATGAGCAAGTGTCTATTTGCATCTATGGAAAACATTAGGTCAGTGGTCTACAACCTTTTTAAGTAGGAGATCACTTTTGGCATTTAAAAGCAACTCAAGATCTACTGTGCACCATCGTTTCCCCACCCCCATCAGGTAAGTCTGTGGGGAGGAAAGAGGGGGCAGATCAAGTCAGAGGGAGAAAAAGTTATTTAGGGGCATGCCTCCCCAGCAGCCAAGTCTCACCCAGCTGGGGCCCCACTTCATTTACGCCTGCTCCTGCCTCTGTGGTACTGTCCCTCACTGCAGGGGCCTCAATCTAGCCCCCACCCCTTCCCCACAGACTCACCTGCTGGGCTGGGGCAGGCGCATGCAAGCACACGGGCACCTAGCCCCCCACCCCAGCCTCAGATCAACTTCAAGAGGCTCCAAAATCTACTGCAAGAGGCTCCGAGATCTACCAGTGGATTGAGATCCACTGGTTGGTGGCCACTGCATTAGGTTTGTTGCATTTTTGCTTTTTAAAATGTAAAAAAGAATAAATAGAGTAAGCAAAACTTATTACAAGCAAAGGTTCTTGTTTTTATTCAAATCATGTGATATTTAATATAAAGACAACACCTATATGTGCAAACCCATATGGATGTTTAGGGTGCCACTGAGCAAACTGTGATTCAAATCACTGTCCCGATTCGATTCGGAGATTTGGCCAATGAATTGGGCTGAACAGTGGCAATGTGTACAGGGTGCACAGGTATCCCTTGAGAGCACTGGTGCACCCCGACAGCCAGAGTTCCCTGCTTAGGCGATGGGCAGGGGACCGGCAGAAGCACTACGGGGTCCACCCTGAGAGCGCCAATCAGGAAGTGGGCGTGCCAGGAGAAGCGATCCCTGTGGCACTTCTGGGTCGACACAATCAGCCATGGGGGACCCCTCTTCCCCCGGTCGCTGACTGGCCACTGGGGGGCTAGGGGGGCAAGTGCCTACCCTGACTCAGGAGGCACCAGTCACCCATGGGGCCAAATCTCACCCCCCTCCCCATTGGCTGCCCCGCCCGGCCCCAACGTCCCAGCATTTTAAAAAAGCCTCACACTCACCGGCTGCAGTAGCAGTCTGGGAGCTGGGGCCACTCGGGCTAAGCGCTGCCGGCCTCCAGGTGACTGCTGGAGCCCCCCAGCTCTAGGACACCGCAGGAAGCCCTGGCAAGCCATGCTGCACCTGCACGATGCAACAGCTGCCACATGCATATGTATAACTTGAGTCCAGTCTCTCTGCCATTTGTCTCACCCATCTCAGAAACTTCCCAGGCATACATTATTATCACTGGACTACAATTTTGTCTAAAACGTGCATTGAAATTAAGCACATCATGCTCAGAAGGTTTACACAGCAATTCTAGACAACAGGTGAACCGTATGCTTATGCATAACTGCAGACCAGGGTTGTCCAACATACAAGCATCAAGAGGCCACACACCCTGCAGGCTGCACTATTAGGGGCTGCACCAGGGGAAGCCATGGGTCCCCAGGACCACACACTGTATGACCCCTACACTGCAGCATGCATCTATCTGCTGCACTGCACGCATGGTTACCTCCCCTCACTGCACATCACCATGCTATACCCCACCACTGCACTGTACAATGTGTGATGCCTGGGTGCACAGAACATTGCCCTGCTGCACCACATGCCCCTGCCTCTACTGCAGTAGTCACCAGCTAGTCAATCGCAATTGGTCAATAGTGGAGCTTCTGACAGTCAATTTCAGTATGGGGAGGCTGAGCACATGCACACACTCAGTCTCGCCAGACTGATATCAGCTGTCAAAGGCTCCATGTCCTGCCACTGGGTGGGCAGCGGGCAAGCCTCTGCTCAGTGGCGGGACACACGTGGCCTCGTGCCACTCCCAGGGCAGCCGCAGTGGGGCTTGGAACGCAAAGCCCAGTGTGCAGCGGCAGCCACCTCCACCCCACACACAGATTGGGAGAGCACATGCGCCCCAGGTGTCCACCAGGATGTGTGTAGTGGCTGGAGCCTCCCCACCCCACACCTGGATGACCGTCTGGGCTCCAATTGTCCCACCACCCAGCCCAGCCAGAGCCCCACTCACCCCAGCACCTGCCCCTACCCCACTCCCTCCCTCACCACAGGGGCCTCAATTTGCAACCCCCACTTGCGGGGGGAAGGGTTGCGATAGATCCTGGGTTAAACTTTAATTCACAAAGTGATCTGGTAATTAAAAAGGTTGGAGACCACTGCTTTAGTGGCACTGCACCTCCCCCCCCCCACCAGCAGTACCACATATCGGTGCCACCATGCACACCCTCCCCACCATTGCACTTCATGTCCCTCCCCATCACTGCACAATGCCTCCTCCCTCCCCCACTATATTGCATGCCTAAGCAGTCTTCTGCTGCTGCATCACCCCACTGCATGACACACCACTTCCCCCCACTGCACCATGTACCCAGGTACCCCTCACCCCCCTCACTACTGAACGATAAGCCCTTTCCCCTCACTGAACTGAGCAACACCACACTGCACCACTTCTCCCTAACTCCCCCCCCACCCCCAACAACACCAGTGCCCAGGTGCCCTGCCTCATCCTCAGCTCCCCAGCCACAGTCTCCCCTGCTGCATTTCACCTTAAGGTGGCCAGACTGCAGGCTCCTTCAGCAATGCAAGCTGTGCCATGCTGCACCACCCCACCGCTTGGGGTGGGGAAGGAGAAGCTGGAGGGGAGAAGGAGCCCAGAGTCCCTGGCTGCTTCTGCAACTGAAGCAATGGCAAAAGTGGTGGTCAGGTGGGAGCCCAGGGCCACAATGTAACCCCCGATGGACTGCATGAAGCCCACAGGTCACCAGCTAGAAAGCCTTGCTGTAGCCCAGTAATAGGCAACATCCAAAATAGGCATAAATGCCATTTGGACTGCACTGACACAAACCTGACTCACATACCTGGGTGACAGTAAGTCCCACCTCTGAGCTTTCTGGTGAAATTGCAAATGTCAATCTGGAAAGTTTGCCTTATAGACAATATGCACATTAGTTGTGAAAGAGATCCCAAAACTTCCATTCCAATGAAAGGCCCAAAAAGTTCACTTTCCTCCCAGGGTTCACTTTGCTACCACAATAAGTTAGGACAAGGCTGTCAAAGACACAGCCAGTGGGCCAGATCTGACCTGTAGAGCCCATCATCAAGCCCACAGGGCTGCCTGTGTGTCTCCAATTCGCACCGCGTGCTGCATGCAGCATGTACTAGCTTTGGGCCCATGAGCTGCATGCAGTGCATGGAGCCCATCTAGCACAGACTGCTTATGGAGCAGGAACTGGAGCTGGTACACACTGGGCCAGTCTGAAGTGTGTACTGCACAAGGCACAGAGCTGGTCCAAGGTGCACACGGCAGTGCCAGACCAGCCTTGCACATCTGATCCAGACAATCCAGAGCAGGCCCACAGAGCCAGTCTGACACGGCTGTCACATGCTGTCACATGCCACAGACTGGCCCTGCGCACCCTGTGCTGCAGGATGCTGGGGCTGGCAAGTGCACACAGTATAAAGAGCTGGAGCCAGCCTGGGGCATGCACTGCATGCGTCAGCCTGGCCCTTCAGGCTGGATCAAGGGCCAGTTCAGATCAGGCCTGCAAACCAGCCCTGCATGCCAGATTCAGCACGCATGGCAGGTCTGGTCTAACTACCACATGAAGGGCATGCCCCAAGTCGGCCCTGAATTCTGTGGGCAGCACATGCCCTATATGTGGGGCCAGGACCAGTACATGATGCATGCAGTCCACAGATCTGGAGCCAGCACATGCTGCATGCAGTACATGGGAATCAGCACACAAGGCAGTCAAAACTGGCTTACTGACCGGCCCATGAGTTTGACACCCCTGAATTAGGATTGTCCAGGATTGACAAATTTCAAATGAGGAACCACAGTCTTTAACTGACAATAAATGTGCACTGTTCAGAAAAGCACGCAAATGTGCACTGTTCAGAAAAGCACGCAGCTCCAGTGTACAAAGCTGCTTCTTGCCAGTTCCTCAGACTGGAGTATCAGACACGTAAGGGGATCATGGGCCTTACACCCGCAGAGCAACACTTAGCCCTCCTTGTTCTTAGAAGGGGCTATTAGGTACTCATCAGCTGAGCTCGGTAAAAGATGGTTCGACTGTCCCCAGGACCCTCCAGAGCCTGCTTCCTAAGCCCAGCGACCTGGGAAGCTGCATGGGTTTTCCTCACCTTGTCCAGGCCAGCTGCATTGCTCCTACTGCAGCTGGCTGCACGTGCACTACCAGGGATCGGCTGCGGCGGGGCTAGGAGCCACAAGAGCAAACCAAACACTTTTACCATCATTGACCGTCCGTGGTAGAAGGGTTGAAATGATCGTACAAACAGGATGATTATCATACACTGGCAACACCGCCGCCAGCACGCAGCTCCCCGCCCCGCCCCGGGGTGCTCTCTACACGGCCCCCGCGCCCGCGCCCCCGCCACACGCACCCGCTCCCCGGGATGCTGGGCGCGCACTCAACCGTCCCGCCGCGGCTGCCCGCTCCCGTCAGCCACTCGTCCCATGGCGCATGCGTACCCACCTCTGCCCGCAGCCGCCGCAACGCAGCTCAAGGATCCCGCCAGCGATACAACTGATTCTTCTGCGCATGCGCCTACCCTCTCCCCACGCAGTTTCAGGGGCGCGAAGCTGTCTTCAGTCCCCGCCCCCGTGGGCTTGCTCTCGCGCTAGAACGGTCGGCTGTTTTGTCAGTGGCTTGTAGGCCTGCGTTGCGCATGCGGCTGTTCTTTCAACCACTTTTAGCATGGCGGCTTGGCTGGGCTGTCGCTAGTGCGGCGCTCTGCCGTCAAGCAATACCAGCCGTAAAGGGCCCTGGCCTCTCTCATTTGCGGCGGTGTCGAAATATCAAGCTAGACAGCGTCTTTGCTCCAAGCGGCTTCGGGCCGGGGGCGGCGGCTGCGCCAGGTGGGTGTGGGGCGCGGGCTGGGCCGGGCCGGCGCCACCCGGGCCCGGGCAATGCGGAACTCCCCCCCCCCCCCGG